GTGTGCCGCTCCCCTGTGGAAGTGGGGAATGTGGCCAGGGGGAACCGCCCTTCCACGGAGGTGGAAGGGACGGTAGCCAACCCGGGAAGAACCAGCAGCAAACCCGGGGAGGGCCGAGCAGACGAAAGAACAGCACAGGGTCCTGTGTCGTTCCTCCACGAAGACGGGGAGCGACATAATGGTGCCGTGACTCGGATAGGAAACTTAGGAGGGAAGAAACGGGAAGAAGTGGGAAAATACGAGAGAGAGAGATTAGCAAAGAGCCTAGGGGAAAGCCGGACGAAAAAGGTGCCGGAAGAAGCTATCAAAAGCCTAGGCATAGACTCAGATACGGACTACGGGGGGAAGCTGGGAGAAATCTCTAAGGTCGAAAGCGAAAGTGAAAGCTAGAACAAACAGACTTGGATACGGACTGTGGGGAGAAGCCAGGAGAAATGAGGGAGGAATATTGTTGGAAGAAAACTTAGGGAAATATACCGGGTAGAGAAAATGTTAGGGAAATTGAAGCCGCGGGGGGCAGGCCGAGGCGGAGACGTAAGCCAGTTTGGAATTCTTTAAGTCAGCCTGGGGGGCAAAAGGCGAAAATCTGGAACCAGAGGCAGAGACGTGGGCCGCCAGGTTGGAATCCGTCAGATTAGCCCGGGGAGCAAAGGACGGGAAGCCAGACCGAAAGGCACAGACGCGTGAGCTAGGTTGAATTCGCCAGGTTAGCCCGGGGAACTTAGATTGAATACTAGTGGCAGAAACGTGAGCTGGGGCTGTGTGACTTGCGGAAGCCGCCGTGTGCAGAGAGAGCACGGGGCGTGAATAGATAGGGAACGCGGGGCTGGCGCGAGGCCATGGTGCGAACGCGAAGGGCATGGAGACCGCGGAGCGTGCGAAGCCAAGTCGCGCAAAGCCGGGAAGCCGCGCAGATGGGAGAAGCGCGGGTTGAAGTGGCTCAGAGCCGGGAAGCCGCCGAGAAGCTGCCGATAAGCAGCCTCGGGGCGGGCGCCGGGAAGCCGCAGGGATAAGAGAAACAGAAGTTTTAGAAGTAAAATGAGAGAAATAGGAATGCTGGTAGATAGAAGTAAATAGGAGAAATAGGAATGCCCAGAGATAGAGAAATAGAGAAAGGCCTCCCCACAACACAGCAATGAGAGCTTGGATTCGGTCTGCCTGATTAGGACGATAAGCACCTGCGGGCGGCTAGCAGCTTATGAGCCGCAGGTCACCGAAGACAGGCACGAATTAACATCAATAAGTCTCCCCACAATACGGCAATGAGAAGGCTTGGATTCGGTTTGCCTGATTGCTAGGTTTTGTAAGCACCTGCAGGCAGTTCTAGCAGAGCAGAGCATGCGCTGCAGGGCACCGAACACAGGCACGCATCAGCGCCTAAAAACCTCCTCACAACATGGCGAAGAGAGGACCCGGATTTGGTTTGCCTGATTGATAGGGCTTGTAAGCACCTGTGGGCAACTATAGCAAGCAGAGCAGAGTGTGTGCCACGGGGCACCGAAGACAGGCGCGTATCAACGCCAAAAATAAAAAGAAAGGGGGATCTGTGGGGAGCAACCTGGACTGGACTGAGTTACTGGAATTAAGACTTATTCTATGCATCTGCTCTCCCACAATATGGCGCTGGGAGAGGAGAAAACAGCTTCTACGCAGCTGCCTCTTGCCAACTTGAGTGATGACCTCCAGGAGCTGATCCTGCTCCTGATTGGAGGAGAGCAGCGTACTCGGCATGTGGGCAGCTGAGTTAGGATTGGCGGAGGAGGACTATAAAGGAGGAGAGAGACGGCATGCACCAGGAACATCTAAGGGGAACACCTGTGCAGCCCCTGAGAGAGCCGGCCGGTGGTGTGCCGCTCCCCTGCGGAAGTGGGGAAAGTGGCAGGGGGAACCGCCCTTCCACGGAGGTGGAAGGGACGGTAGCCAACCTGGGAAGAACCAGCAGCAAACCCGGGGAGGGCCGAGCAGACGAAAGAACAGCGCAGGGTCCTGTGTCGTTCCTCCACGAAGACGGGGAGCGACACTCTTGACACAGAATGTTTTGTACAGATGCACTCAGTGGGTGAGTGTGTGTGTGTGTGTGTGTGTGTGTGTGTGTGTAGTTGTCAAAGCAAATGTGCCCAAAGACCTCAGGACTTTCCATTACCCTGTTCTACTTTGTCTCTGACAGGTCCTCAGGATGTCTCCTTGGTTTCAGTTTTACCATTGTGTTTTTTTTTAAGAATTTGGAAAAATCATTAAAAGAAAACAAAGCAAATAATTTAAAAAAGCATTCCATACATTTGTCTAACTGAACATTAAAGCTCAACAACACAGCACATTGTAAAGAATCACTTGCTTGACCTCATGATTTTTTGGCTGATGATGGGGAGCTGTGACTTGCTACCACCGCCCAGAATTGCAAGAGAGTATTATAACATAGGTGATGAGCTATGGAAAAAATCAAAATTAAAACTGTGAATATGGCTTCTATTGAATATGTATCACATCTGTTCTGTGTATCAGGCACAGGAATAGAAACACATTTAGCCCATATGCACATGCAAGTGGAAGCACTGAGAGGCCTACAGGGTCTGCACACACAGGGATTGGAAAGAGAAGAGGAAATCAATGGGCTGAAATGGACACTATGAGAAACAGTGACTTGATCAGCTCTTGTCCTGACTGTTGATGTACAATGTAATACTTTATCCATTTTAGTATTTTTTTTTATTCTAGTACTATTGGTTGAAATCTGTAATTAACACACAATTATTCTTAGGTGTTTAAATTTTAACTGAAAAGTGATCCCTGTTAGGAATTTGGAAAACATTATGCTGAGTGAAATAAGCCAGTCCCAAAGAGACAAATATCATATGTTCTCCCTGATCGGTGACAACTGACAGAGCACCAAAAAGGAAACCTGTTAAAGTGAAATGAACACTATGAGAAACGGTGACTTGATCAGCCCTTGCCCTGACTGTTGATGAACAACTTAATACATTATCCCTCTTAGTATTTTTTTGTTTGTTCTACTTAATACTTTTGGTTGAATACTGTAATCAATACACAGTTATTCTTAAGTGTTGAAACTTAACTGAAAAGTGATCGCTGTTAAATATAAGAGTGGGAATAAGAGAGGGAAGAGATATGCAATTTGGGACATGCTCAAGCTGACTTGCCCCAAACGGTAGAGTTAGAAACATGCCAGGGGATTCCAATTCAATCCCATCAAGGTGGCATGTACCAATGCCATCTCACTAGTCCAAGTGATCAATTTCTGTTCACAATTTATTATAATGATAGGACTAAGAGCCAAAGGGATCACATAAACAAGACTAGTGTCTGCAAATACTAACTGATAGAATAAAAAAGGGAGAGAACGATCCAACATGGGAAGCGAGATACACAGCAGACTCATAGAATGGCAGATGTCCTAAACTTCACTCTGGCCTCAGAATCAGCACTTAAGGCATGCAGATCCAGCTGAAAAGCCCATGAGAGTATTTCAGGCATGGAAAACCAAGACACCCTGGCAAAAAAAATGACCTAAATGAAAGATCTCCATGAGTGAGATCACAGTGGAAAGAACAGGTCATCAAAGAAGGAGGTACCTTTCTCTGAAGGGAGGAGAGAACTTCCACTCTATGACCTTGTCTAAATATGATCAGAGTCAGTGAACTCAAAAGGCTTCCATAGCCTTGGCAACTCATGACAAGAGCCTAGGGTGATTCCTGATGCCATAAACAAGAGTGTCAATTTGTTAAGTCAACAACAGGAGTCACTGTGCACTTACTCCTCATGCAGGATCTCTGTCCTTAATGTGCTGTACATTGTGATTTAATGCTATAAGTAGTACTCAAACAGTATTTTTCACTTTGTGTTTCTATGTGGGTGCAAACTGTTGAAATCTTTACTTAATATATGCTAAACTGATTTTCTGTATATAAAGAGAATTGAAATTGAATCATGATGTGAATGGAAGGGGGGAGGGAGTGGGAAAGGGGAGGATTGCGGGTGGGAGGGAAGTTATGGGGGGAAAGCCATTGTAATCCATAAGCTGTACTTTGGAAATTTATATTCATTAAATAAAAGTTAATTAAAAGAAATCCATGGGCTGGGACAGATACAGGAATTACAGCCTTAAGTGACTATATTAGAATAAAATACTAAAAATCGATCATCACAATTCCATTTTAACAATTAAAAAGAAAAAAACATGAAAGTACATAAAATAAAGACAAGCAAAAAGATAACAGGAGATATGAAATGCTTTTTTTCAGTTTTCTTTATACTCATAAGATTAAACCTACAGTAAGTAAAGAGTTCAACAAATAGTATGAGGAGAAAAAAGTTCCTCAGCTACAGAGACAGGGGCTGTAAACAATCATCAAAGCTCAAGATGTCAATTTCACTCCTATAGATTACATTTTAGATGCTCTCTTAGTTATGACAGATTAGGGAAAGCATGGTATTTGTCTTTTTGGGACTGGCTTATTTCACTAGGGATAATGGTTTCTAGTTGCATCCATTTTGTTGCAAAAGACAGGATTTCATTTTTTTTTTACCACTGAGTAGTATTCCATAGTGTATAAATTCCATAATGTGAAATGCATTCTTCAAATCAATATTAAAACATGACACAAATGGCCCAACAGAAAATTGAACAGAAATACAAAGAGAAAGCCCCTAAGCGAAGAAGCAGAATTTTAACTCACCTGAAGCAGGTGACCGCCAGCTGCAGCCAGGATCCGCCTGTGAGAAGCACGGGGCGACCCCGGGGCGACCCCAGCGGGTGGCAGGTGCACCGAGGGGAGAGGAGCCCAGGAGGAGGGCAGGGGGCCGCTTCGCACCTCACCTCATTCCCACCAAGCACAGACCAGTTAGGGAGCCACGGCTTGGAGGATGCTGATTGGCTGAGTCTTTTGTGACGCTATGTGTGCCCCCATCCAATCAGGCACGATGATGTCATCACGCGGGATCTTGACGTCACAGTGGTCTTACAGTTTCTTGGTAGAGCGAGGTCTTAGGAGAGGGCTGTGCTGTTTCGAGGCTCCAGAGCCCAGTCAGGGTCTGCGCTCTCCACCTTCGCGCTCTGGGGGTCACCGGGCACCTAGGAACTGAGGACACGGTGAGTGTGTGGGCCCAGGAGTCCCTACAGGGGGAAAGCAGAACCAGCGGAAGCTTCCCGGGACCCCTGACCCCTTCCCTGACACCCGGAACCCCCGACGCCTGGCCCCTCTCTGGCACCTGGGACCCCCGATGCCCGGCCCTCCCTGTCACTCACGACCCCCGACGTCCGGCCCCCTCCCTGGCACCCTGGATCCCCAGAGCCCGGCCCCTTCCCCGATGCCCAACCCCTTCCCTGGCACCCATGATCCCAGACGCCCGGCCCCTCCCTGGCACCCGGGACCCCTGATGCCTGGCACCTCCCTGGCACCCGAGACCCCCAACCCCCTCCCTGGCATCCGTGATCACTGACGCCTGGCCCCTCCCTGTCACTCAGGACCCCAGACACCCGGCCCCTTCACCTATGTCCAAGATCTCCCTGGCTCCCAAGACCCCGACGCCCGGCCTCTTCCCTGGCAACCAGGACCCTCAATGCCAGGCTCCTCCCTGGTACCTGGGACCCTGAGGCCCAGCCCCTCCCTTGCACTCGGGACACCCAATGTTCGGCCCTCCCTTTCACTCGGGACCCAGGACGCCCGGCCTCCACCCTTGCACCCAGGACCCCTGAAGCCCGGCCCTTTCCCTGGCACCCAGGACCCTCGATGCCTGGCCCCTACCTGGCACCCGGGACCCCTAATGCCCTGCCCCTCCATGGCACCCGGGTCCCCTGATGCCCAGCCCTCCTTGGCATCTGAGACCTCTGACGCCCTCCCTGGCACTCAGACCCCTGACGCCTGACCCCTCCCTGGCATCCAGGACCCCCAACTCCCTCCCTGGCCCCTGTGACCCCCGACACCCGGTCACTCCCTGTCATGTGGGACCGCAGATGCCCGGTCTCTTTCTGGTACCCGGGACCCCTGACGCCAGGCCCCTTTCCAGGTATCCGGAACCTCCATTGCCCGGCTCCCTCTGGGCCCAGGGACACCTGACCACTCCCCTGACACCCGCTACCCCCAACTTCCAGCCCCCTCCCTGGCACCTGTGCCCCCTGACACCTGGCCCCCTCCTTGACACCTGGGAAGCCTGACGTTCGGCCTCCCCCCCCCGGGCACCCTGGACCCCCAACACCCAGCCCCTCCCCTGGTACCCAGTACCCCCATCGCCCGACTCCTTATTGGGCCCCAGGGTCCCCAACCCTGGCCACTTCCTTAACACCTCTGTCCCCTGACACCCAGCTTCCTCCATGGCACCCAGGACTCTCAATGCCCGGCCCCTTCCTGGCACCTGGGAACCCTGCCGCCCACCCCCTTCCATGGCACCCAGGACCCCCAAGTCCCAGCCACCTCCCTGGCACCCAGGACTCCTGCTGCCTGGCCCCTTCCCTGGAACCCAGGACCCCCAACACCCGGCCCCATCCCTGCACCCAGGACCCCGAAGCCCAGCACCTCCCTGGCACCCGGGACCACAGACGTCCAGCCCCCTCCCTGACACACTAGACATTGACGCCCGGCCTCTTCCCTGGAACCCAGGACACTTGACACCCAGCCCCTCCCTGATACCCATGGCCCTGTTGCCTGGATCCCATTGCCCACCCTCCCCCCTGTCACTTGAGACCCCAGACGTCCGGCCCCCTCCCTGGCATCCCTGATCCCCAATGCCCGGCTCCTTCCCCCATGCCCAGCTCCTTCCCTGGTACCTGAGACCCCCCATCACCCAGCCCCCTCCCTCTCTCAGGACCCCTGATGCCCAGCCTCCTCCCTTGCACCCTGAACCCCTGATGCCTGGCACCTTCCCTGGCACCAAGGACCCTCAATGCCCATCCTCTTCCTGGCACCCGGGACCCCTGATGTCCGTCCCCTCCCTGGCACCCGGGACCCCCAACCGCTTCCCTGGCACCCGGGACCCATGTTGCCCAACCCCCTCCCTGGCACTCAGGAACACTGGGCCCAGATCCTCCCCTGGCACCTGGGGCCCCCAATACCTGGCCCCCCCCGCACGCAGGACCCTGACACCAGGCCCCTCCCTGGCACCTGGGACCACCAACCCCCTCCCTGGCACCCGTGACCTCAAAGTCTGGCCTCCACCCTGGCTCCCATGACCCCTGAAGTCCGGCCCCCTCCCTGGCACTCCAGACCCCCAACACCCGGCCACTTCCCCGACGCCCAACCCCTTCCCTGGTACCTGTGACCCACACCATCTGGCCCCTTACCAGGCACCCGGGGCTCCCATGCCTGGCCCCTCACTGTCACTGGGGACCCCAGATGCCAGGCCCCCTTACTGGCACCGGGGACCCGTGATGCCTGGCCCCTTCCCTGGCACACGGGACCCTTGACACCTGGCCCTCCTTGGTACCTGTGATTCCCCATGCCTGGCCCTCCATGTCACTTGGTACCCCCGACTTCCAGCCCCCTCCCAGGCACCCAGGATCCCTGATGCCCGGCCCCTTCCCTGATGCCCAGCCCTTCCCTGGTACCCAGGACCCCCATCACCCAGCTCCCTACTGGGCCCCGGGATCCCCAAAGCCTGTCCCCCTCCTTGATACCTGTGACCTGTGTTGCCCAGCCCCCCCCCCGGCACCCAGGACCCTCAATGCCCGGCCCCTCCCTGGCACCTGGAACGTCAACTCTCAGCCTCTTCCCTGGTACCCGGGAACCCTGACCCCTTCCCTGACACCCAGGATCCCCGACACCAGGCCCCCTTCCTGGCACCCAGGACCCCTAATGCCCGGCCCCTCCCTGGAACCCGGGACCCCTGATGCCCAAACCCTCCCTGTCATCTGAGACCCCCGACCCTCTCCCTGGCACCTGTGACCCCCGATGCCCAACCCCTCGCTGACAGTCAGGACCCCAGATGCCTGGCCTCTTATCTGGCACCCTGGACGCCCAACACCCAGCACCTTCCCTGGTACCCGGGACACAAATCGCCTGACTCCCTCCTGGGTCCAGGAATCCCTGATGCTTGGATCCCTCCTTGAAACATGTGACCCCCAACACCCAGCCATCCCTGGCACCAAGACCCCTGATTCCCAACCCCTCCCTGACACCTGGCACCCCCACCCCCCTCCCTGGAACCCATGGCCCCAATGCCAGGCCCCTCCCTGTCTCTCAGGACCCCAGACACCCATCCCCCTCCATGGAAAGCAGGATGCCTGACCACTTCCCTGTCACTGGGATCCCTGACCCTCGGCCCCTCCCTGGCACCTGGACCTCAATGCCCGACACCTCCCTGGCACCTGGGACCCCCAACAACCTCCTGGCACCTGTGACCCCCAACTCCTGGCCCCTCCCTTTCCCTTGGGACTCCAGACACACAGCCCCCTCCCTGGCACCTGGAACCTCCAACCCCTTCCCTAGTACCCAGGACCCCCAATGCCCGGCCCCCTACCTAGCAATCAGGACTCAACACCTGGCCCCTCCCTGGTACCCGGGACCTCTGACGCCAAGCCCCTTCCTTGGCACCCAGGACCCCCATCGCCTGACTCCCTATTGGGTCCTGGGATCGCCAATGCCTGGCCCCTCCTTGACCCCCAAGACCCCTGACACCCGGCCTCCTCTCTGGCACCCATGACCCCCGATGTCCAACCCCCTCCCTGGCACCTGTGAACCCTGGCACCTGGCCCCCTCCTTGTCACCACAGAACCAACGCTTGGCCTCCCCCTGGCACCCTGGACCCCCAATACCCAGCCCCTTCCCTGGTACCTGGGACCTCCATTGCCCAGCTCCCAGCTGGGCACAAGGATCCCTGATGCCTGGCCTCCTCTTTGATACCCATGACCCCTGAGGCTGGCCTCCTCCCTGGCACCCAGGACACTTGACGACTGGCCCCTCCCTGGCACCCGGGACCCCCGATGCCTGGCCCCTCCTTGTCACTTGGGATCGCAGATGCCCAGCCCCTCCCTGGCACCTGTGACTCCCGATGTCCAGCCCCCTTCCTGGCACCCAGGGACCCTGCCACCCGGCCCCTTCTGTTGCACCCAGGACCCCCGAGGCCCAGCCGCCTTCCTGGCACCCAGGACTCCCACTGCCTGTCCCCTTCCCTGGCACCCAGGACCCCCAACGCCTGGCCACCTTTCTGCACCAGGGACCCCGATGCCCAGCACCTCCCTGGCAGCTGGGAACTCTGACCCCTCCCTGGCACCTGTGACCCTCAATGCCCGGCTCCCTCCCTGCACCCGGGACCCTGACATCCAACCCCCTCCCTGGCACCCTGGATGTTGACACCCGGCCTCTTCCCGGACACCCGGGACCCTCGACACCCTCCCTGACACCCGTGACCCCGTCGCCAGGCCCTCCCTGTCACTAGAGACCCCTGATGTCCTGTCCCCTCCCTGGCACCCCTGATCCCCAATGCCCAGCCCCTTCTTCGAAGCCCAGCCCCTTCCCTGGTACCCAGGACCCCCATCACCCGGCCCCCTCACTGTCTCTCAGGACCACAGAAGCCCAGGCCCCTCCTGAGCACCTGGGACCCCAATCACCTGGCCCCCTCCCTGTCACTCAGGACCCCTGATGCCCAGTCTCCTCCCTTGCACCCAGGATCCCTGACACTGAGCCTCTTCCCTGGCACCCAGGACCTTTGATGCCCATCCCCTCCCTGGCACCTGGGACCCCTGATGCCTGGCCCCTCCCTGGAACCCAGGACCCTCGATGCCTGAACCCTCCCTGTCACCCAGACACCTGAACCCCTCCCTGGCACCTGTGACCCCCGACTCCCATCCCCTCCCTGTCACATGGGACCCCAGATGCCTGGCCTCCTCCCTGGCACCCTGGACCCCCGATGCCCACCCCCTTCCCTGGTATCCAGGACTCAAATTGCTTGGCTCCCTCCTGGGCCCAGGGATCCCTGATACCTGGATCCTTGCTTGAAACCCATTACCCCTGATGTCTGGCCTCCTCCAAGGCACCTGTGACCCCCGATGCTTTGCCCCCCCTGGCACCCAGGACCCCCAACCCCCTCCCTGTCACCCGGGACCCCTGATGCCCAACCCCCTCCCTGTCACCCGGGACCCCCGATGTCCAACCCCTC